TTACCTTGGTGGCCGAGACAGGCCATCCCAACACTTGGTGGCACACCAGTATCAGCCTTGGCAGGATAAATCTCCTCAGACTTATTCAATGGCTGTGAACATTTAAAACTAACACGAGTCTCTATAAGTGTCCAGTTTTAGGGTCTTACACAGAATTATACCAAACAACATGAATCAAACATGCACTTTATTTATTTACACTAAAAAACCAAAAGTACATCAAATCGGATTGAAGCTAAGGGCATACAAACTGTCTAACAAATTTCATCTCTTCAGACAGTGTAGGCCAGTCCAACCCAGCCAACTCCACTCGACTAGCTATTTCCTCTTGAGAGTCCAACTCCACACTATCCACTTCAAGTTTAGTCACCATGTTTTTCCTTCTTCTTCCATTGGCCATCTCATGAAAAAATTTGGTATTCATTTATCCAAAAAAAAAAAAAATGGTATTCCTATCACTTTCCTTTATCCATTTATGCCTCCAAGATATCTCTTGTCGCTAAAGAACCTCCTCTAAATTCTTTTTCAACCTCCACCTTAATTCTCTTTCCTGAGTATTCATGGTTCGTTGAGATTCCTTCTTATCTAGGTCCTCTATTTTGGTCATCAGATTGGATTTCTGTTCCTCCTATCTCCCAATATAATAAATATTATAGGCCGTAACATAGATTTAAAATATGTACTTAAGTAGGTTTGATAAAGCCAACATTTTTAAGAACTAGGCAACCTAAAAACTATTTTGGTTTCTGACTCTAGTTTTTGAATATCTGTCTGCTTTGCCCCAAGTTTGACAACGTATATCACACATTTTATTTTATGAGGCAATTGGAGCACTTTTAGGTCATTTACCATTGTTGTGGGGTGAAAAGCAAATATTTGTAGAGTATATTCATCTTTTGTATCCTAAAAGATCTCTTGAATTTTTGATATTTGAAATGACTTTTTGGAAAGGCAAAACAAACACCATCCATGTTTTTCTTGTTTTGAGCTTTTTAGTGAATGTAGGGGTTTGGGGGTCAATGAGATAAAGCATGGCTGACTGTGATTATATTTTGCAAAGAATACACAGAAAATCTACAGAGAAGGGAAAGAGATTTCCCAAAATCAGGACAACTTTTACCATCTACATTTCCACCATGATTGGCTTGCATCAAGAACTTAATTTTTTTATCACTTTTATTAGCATTAATGTTGGATATTTAAATGCTGAGATTTTCAACTGTAATCATTGAGGACAATATATTGTAAACTTCTATATCGTGTAAAAAATTTTTGATACGTGGATTAAATTTTAAGTAGCTATTCACTTGCTATGTTTTAAGATATGTGCCATGACAAGTCTTGATGGCACTCTGTCTGTTACTCCTATGACAGGTACTCTTGTATGCCATTGTTGTAATGGTACTTTTATTTCCCTTTGATATTTTTTATTTATCGTCTCGCTACTACTTGTTGAGGACACTCTGGCGGATCTTTCTTCCATTACAGGTGAATAGCATTTTTGTAGTATTCTTGTACCTGTAATTACATGCTAAGGATTCATTACTGTATAATTATGTATTGTCAGAAATTCTAGAATAATGTGTTGTTGTAGGAAACTTTAAAATGTTTATTGGATTTTGCTGGACGATGTTGATTTGATTATCTTATAAATATTATCTTGGTGGAATGGATGGCCTGTATTGTTGGTTTCGGAGGAGAAGACACAATAAGAAATAATAAAAAATTGCAGGTTAATTGGGTGGTCTTAAGAAAGAGTCAAATGTTGGTATTTTTGGTTTTATCTTTGAAAGGTGATTCTAATGTCATTTGTCATCTTTCTTGATTGATATGCAGAATTATAGCTGTGTTTTAGAATAGATTGATTAGTGTTTTGAGTTCTTTTACTCAAAAGAATATTGGGAAACATTGGATGGCTACTTGTTTCTTGGTCATTGCATGTTTTTTGTGTTAAATATATGTATAATGATGAATTTTTCTGAAAGTACCTTGCTATCCATAGATTATCTCAAAGGGATTTGTTGTCTCCTTTTCTTGTATATTATTTATTCATAGGATTTTTCTGCACATGGTATATTCAATTTATAGTGTTACTAACAGAAAGAAAACTAAGAATGAATTTATTGTCGGTTGTATCTGGCATTACTCGTTCTAACCCAATATGGTGGATGATGCTGAATGCAGCCAATTTCATTTTCAGACTTTTTCTTGGCGGATATCCTAACTTCCATGGCAAAGGTATGGATCTTGAACGCCAATTAAACCATAGGAAACCTATTCCTCATTATCAATGAAATCTTAGTTATCGATAAAAAAACCTTAGGAAATCTATGCATATTGCTTAATTTAATTGTGAATGGTTGAATTATCCACTTGAAAAATGGGTGGTTGCATCGAAACCTTCTAATTTTGTGTTAGTTTTCCTTTGGGCTTTTATTTGAAATTTGCTAGTAACTTGCAAGAATCATGATACCATTTATTTATGTGTTTTGTTATTTACCTTTATTTTAGTTCTTTTTTCTTTGAGTAGCTGTGAGGTTGAGAGTTTGTTTGGTTAAGTGGAGTCTTTTATTGGTCAAGGATAAATAAAACATACAACCAAGTTTTTGACTTTGAGAAGGTACAACAATTGGTCCAATGAATGTAGCAGGCATTTAAGGAAGCCATACAAAAGCAAATATGCGCTCCATTTAAAATGTATGCCAACTTGGATTTGGATCAGGTCTGGAACTTTCCAGATCTTTGCTAGTCATTATTAATGGCTTAGCGTGTCTTGGCTGGTTTGATTGAGTGGTATTGTTAACAACATTTTACTGAAATCTTTGAACATAATGAATTTGTCTTCATTGTCTATTATCATGGCTTAATTACAGTGTTGATGTACTAGTTGTTAACTTTAGCTTCTATTGTTTCTTGATATTGTTTGTAATTGTTAATTATGTGCAGGTATTTTCAGATTTGGAGCGTTCGGTTTGTCGGATGGTCCATAGACAGGTTAGCATTTTGACGTCAAAATTGGTTTTTGTGCATATTGATGTACCTAAGCCTTGACATATTTATATTTTATGAGTTTCTCTCCTGCTGTTTGGCCCAACAAAATCAAGTTAGATCTCTACTATTACAGTTTTATTATATTGCTTTCATTGTGTTGGGAGGCATCTTTCTTTTTTTTTTTTTATTTTGACTATTCTTATCCATTTATCTTTATCTAGAAGAGATTTTCATATGAGATACCTTGTGCATTGGATATGTTAGGTTACTGCCTAACCTCTTGAAATGGACAAAAGCAGAGGTGAGAGAGTCGATTTGGACTCTGCTTGCATCAAGGACAACTGTCTGCCTATGTCGCCTCCTCCTATAGACATACTTGGTCACAGTCATGCCACACATGAAAAGTTGGTCAAATGCATCTTTTGGCATGGACCTAGCTTGTGGCCCAACAGGTTCCTTCCCCTTAAGCTGATCTTGTCCTTAAGGTCTATGCAGGGAAAATCCTTTTGGTACTTGAGGTAGGGCACCCAGGTAGTGTATTCTAACTAGTAGGCTGGTCCAAGACAAATGCATCTTCCATGTACTGAAGCAGTGTAGGGCAACTGATCACTCCTTAAGGCATTTTTTGTGTAGAGATAAATGAAATGTGGAAAGAAGCGTGGAGGAGGGAGGCCCAGCTTATAAGCTACGAACCCAATTCTCTCAAAAATCTTGAATGGCCCAAAGTACCATGGCGTTAAGATTGTTCCAGGTTCTATTAATAGTTCTGCAGTTTGAGGAAGGCTAGGTCCCCCACATGGTATCAACTGTTGCACCCACATTTAGTTGGACTTGAGTTTTTTAAGATTACATTATCTTTGTATACGATATTTTTCAAGAGTGACTACCATGGTGGAACATTTATTGTTAGGAAGGAAAGCGAGAGGTTCCCTTCCACGTAAATCTTTAGAGGGGGTCATTCAGGTTGCTGCTTGATAGGTGGTATTGTTAAGGGTGTCAATGGTGGAACATTTATTGTTAGGAAGGAAAGGGAGAGGCTCCCTTCCACGTAAATCTTTAGAGGGGGTCATTCAGGTTGCCGCTTTATAGGTGGTATTGTTAAGGGTGTCAATGGACCGGTTTTGGATTGGACCCCGTTCAGTCCAAAATCGATTTGGATGGATTGGACCAGTGATTTAAAAGGCGTGTCTAGGTGCACAGGCGAGGCGCATTTTCAGGGTATGCGCCTTGCCTAGGTCCTAGGCGCAGCCCTTTCAAAAGGCACACCGCACACCAGGGGTGTGCCTAGGTGTGCACCTGATGCGCCTTGCGCCTCAGCCCAGGCGTGTGAAAACTAATAAAATGTCTTCTTAAAAGGCAAATAAAACTATAAAATCATTATTTTTTGTGTGAAAACTAAGAATTTAAGACCTAACGTGGGCTTGTTTGGRCTTGCCTCGAGGGGCGTGGCACAAAACCGGCTCGTAGAATCAGGAATGTAATATGTTTTAACATTACATTAGCTATGTGAAGTACTGCAATTGAGTGAAAAAAGAAATTAGAGGTTTTACATGCTTGAAAATGCTTTATATGTTTGATTTTATTTTTAAATTCTCATTTGAATATGTTTTACATCTTATGTTTATGTATTTTAATTTTAGATAATAGGTTTTTTAAAACATTTTTTTTTTAAATTTAGTTTATATTTTTATTAATATTATGTTTAATATTTTTTATTTTTTTGATTTTTTTTTGATTTTTTTTGATTTTTTTTGATTTTTGATTTTTATTTTTGCGCCTTGCATCAAAAAGGTGCTTGCCTCGCCTTGCACCTCAGGCACAAATTGACCCCTGCGCTTTTTTTGCGCCTTGTGCTTTTAAAACACTGGATTGGATGGACCAGCAAGACATATTGGATTGGACCAATCTGGTCCAAAATATTTATTAGATTGGATTGGACCTGGTCCGTCCATAGAAAATTTATATTGGATTGGGTTGGATTAAGCCAATATCTGGTCCATTGATATAAGATAAGAATATAGGTGTCAATTGACTGGGTTTGGGTTGAAACCAATCTAAATTGGAACGAATTTGAATTGATTGGACTGTCCAGATGTTAAATTAGACCGACCCAAAATGGTCCATATCTGTGTCTATGTTTAGACCATATCCATACCCAAGATCAAAGCCCATGCCAGCCAACCCATTAATTGGACCATGAGTTGAGAATTAATGCAAATTTAATGAACCTTGGTAGAGTTTCTTAGAATTAACAATAGCATATAGAAGGTCAATAGTCTTCTTGAAGATTGGAAGTTTCTTAGAACTAAAGAAGGCATATGGAAGGCCAACAGTCATCTTAATTAGAATTTAGAGGGCAGTCATTAAGATTTAATGCTAGTTTCCTTCCTAGCATGGAAGCCTGCCTATATAAAGAGAAGCACTTATCTGTTTCAGTAGTGAATAAATTGAGTATTTTCTTAAGCATTTTGTGCTTTGGTGGTGTGATTCCATCATCTTCTTAGAGGTATAACTCTTCTTCTGATTGGTGTGATTCCAATCAAGAATTAGAGTTCTAAGGTGAGATGCTGAAGACTCTAATTCAAGGCCATGCGACTCAGCCCACTATTCTCTTTCTCAACATTCTATCACATATTTGTCATTGTTAAGCTGCATACTGGGGGTGTATGCTGTGCTGCATCAGTTTAGTACCAAGACTCTAGGTTGATTCTTGGTATGACAACTAGGTGAGATACACAATATCGTGGAAGCTGACCGAGTGGCAAGGTGCTCATTCATTGCTGAAAATAATGCAATGGATGGAAAACGTAAGTGATCGCTTGGCTAATTTGAGGATGGGAGATACTAGTCAACCATGCTTCAATAACTTTTGATACCACCAAGCAACCATAAGCAAGCCATTTCAATCAGCTGGGAACAACTTTGGCAGAGCTTCATCTGGGACATCAAGATGTGACATTGAACGCTACAAGTGTAGAGGTGAGGGTCACTTTGTTTCCATTTGTCCTACTAAGAATCTTAATCATTGTGGGGATGAAAACCATAAAGATGGGGAAAACCTACAAGGAAAAATGAGCAAGTGAAAGAGGGGGTTAATGGTGGAGGTTCCCTAAAGAAACTGATAAAGTATGGACTAGAGTTTATCTCAAGTATCCATGGACTGTCAAGCAATGGTTGGGATGCAGGTTGTTTGCATAGAGCTACGTTGGCTACTCTGTGGAGAGCCATTCATGATATTCTTCCCTTGTTTGTTCCCCACATAGGGTATGATTTGGCTTTGGGTCAGAAAATCAGGTTCTGGGAGGACATTTAGATTGGGGATTCGCCCATTCTGTGTTTTTCCCTTCCCTCTTTGCTCTTTCCAGCCTCAAGGGAAAACCTAGCAGTGAATTCATCAATTCATCCTCTTCATCTTCTAACCTGAATTGGAATTTGGGCTTTACTAGAAATTTGAGAGAATCTGAAATCTCTAATGTTTCTGCTTTGATTAATTTGCTAAGTTCAGTGGTTTAGACTCTAGAGTTTGGGCTCTCAACCAGTAATGTTTCTGCTTTGATTAATTTGCTAAGTTCTACCTCCTCCCATTCTTTCCCGGTCAAGGAGGTTTGGTGTCAGCCCATCCCTCCTAAAGTCAGTGCCTTCTGTTGGGAAATGTTCCATGGCTCCATTAACACTTGGGATTTGCTTCATAGAAAAAGACCAAATTGGTGCTTGTCCACGAACTGGTGTTTCTTATGTAAGCTACACGGTGAGACTGCCTTCCACCTTTTAATTTCCTGTCCTTTTGCTAACTACATTTGGGAATGGTTTTCCTCTTTGTTTGGTTGCAGCTGGACTCCTGTTAATCTGGAAGGATTATTTAATTCTCAAACATTCAGGTGCCCTAAAAGAAGAGGAGGAATTATGGGAAGATGCACTAGAGCAGCAGTGGTTTGGACAATTTGGGAAGAAAGAAATTTAAGGATTTTTGATGACAAGGAAAGAAGTAAAGAACACACACTACATATGCTTTGGGTCTAATTGGAATTAATGCAAGTTTAATGAATCTTGGTGGAGTTTCTTAGAATTAAAGGTAGCATATTGAAGGTTAACAATTATCTTGATGAATTGAAATTTTTTGGAATTGAAGATTGCATATAGAAGGTCAACAGTCATCTTGAAGCTTGGCAGTTTCTTAGAATTAAAGAAGGCATATAGGAGGTCAACAAATTGAGTTTTTTCTCGAGCATTTGTGCTTTGGTGGTGTGACTCCATCATTTTCTTAGAGGTGTGACTCCAATCTAGAACTAGAGTTCTAAGGTGAGTTTTGAAAGACTCTAATTCACTATTGTGTGCCTTAGCTCACTATTCTCTTTCTCAGCATGCTATCACATATCCTTCATTCTCAAGCTGCATACTGGGGTTTTTGGCTGTGCTGCATCACTGGGTATATAAGGGTTGCAACAACCCCGCCTGTAATTGAGTGTAATGATAATAAGGTGCCTGTCTAGTTGCCTAGGCAACAAAAATCACAATGCAGGAACTTCAATGCAATATTATTATTGTGGTACATATTATTATTATGTTGGTACTAGGTGCCTGTCTAGTTGCCTAGGCAACAAAAATCACAATGCAGGAACTTCAATGCAATATTATTATTGTGGTACATATTATTATTATGTTGGTACTAGATCCTATAAGGGGCCCTTGCTTGGTGTAATGGTAAAATCTTGGACTGGCAATTTTGAGACTGCAGATCCGAGTCTTAGAGCAGTCACTTTGTGCAAAAATAGAAAAAAAATGCCTGAGGTTAGGATGCCTTGAAAGCAGGACAATGTACAATCGAGCCCAAAAAATCCGATTCTTATGCACCCCTTTCTTACCCAAGTAATTTACTACCCATTTGCTGATCTCCTTTCCCAATGACAAGCAATTGCCATACTTGTTGTTAACCACTTGAATCTTCACAATGCCCCCCTAAAGGACCAAGCCACCATTGCCGGATCCCTCAGCCACACGATTAC